GGCTTCTGGACGGCCGCTCACTGCGGCTGCTGGCCGCTCACGCTGGCTGCTGGCTACACACAGCAGCCCATAGCAACCCACTGCCACAGGGTCTGCAGCCTACGCCGTCGCCGGCGACTAATGGCAACCCAGCTCTAGGTTGAGCTGTTGTTCAGCATCTTAGCTGTAGAGGGCAGTGTCACTGGCCCTCGTATGTGGGATCCGATCCGGGGACCTCTGGCATCCCAAGCCAGTTCTTAACCATCGTGCCACTCGGCCGGCCCTAACACAATCATATTTAGATAAATAGCCTATTGAGAACAAACTTTATGGTTCAGCTTTTATTTCAGGTAAGGCAACCCAGTGTATACACTGGTTTTCGGATTTCCAAAATGTCACCAAATTTTAGCCATATATTTCAACAAACAGAAATTCTTGCGAGGAGGAATATAAACATTGAAGCATGCTAAATACATCATATTAGGATGACACATTATGATAAGTGGACATAAATTAATTTGTGGAATCCTGTGAATTTTCTGGCAGTCACCCTTTTTCTAATAATCAGGGAAACAAAGATCTAATAAATTGAAGATGATAAAATCTAAAACCCAGTCTCTTACAGATATTATATATATATATATATATATATATATATATATATATATAGAGAGAGAGAGAGAGAGAGAGACAGAGAGAGAGAGAGACAGAGAGACTCAAAAGAAAAGCTAACACACTGAGGCCTTTATGAAAAATAGCAGCATTTCAGTGGACAGAAGAGAAGGGGGTAAATAGAATCAATCAATCATTAATTATGCATCTAATATGTGCTCAGAATAAGCAAAGGCATGGGGGAAATATGAGCATTCGTTTGACATACTGAGGAGTCCAGACCACTGTTATGGTGAGCCTGTGTTAAGAGACTTTCGTTTATGCACATCCAACAAAGAAAACACATTCGACATCTGATAGAAAGGTAACGTAGTAACATCCTTGATTCCAATGAGGTAGGGGGATATTATAAACTATGTGGATCCATCCTTGTATATTGAGGCAATTTAGTTAATGAAATCATCAAGAGCAGCCTTAAAAGGGAAAGATGTTGGAAAAGGGCAGCACTGAGCGCGAGGTCGTAGTGTTCTGGTTGCCAGGCAGCCACCCTCAGGCCCTCTTTTGTTACCTTGGTGATGTTGGAGAGCTTACCGAAATACTCTTTGAGATAGCATCTGAACTCTCCACATCCTTTTAGCACCAACTAATCACGCCACTTCTTTCTCCTCTTCCCCCACATCTCTACCCACACTGTCATAATCTTATGAATTCAATGAACCTACAAGTATACCTCCAATGCCCAATGTCCAAGGCCAGAGAATGATGCTGATTTGAAAACCCAAGGCAAATAAATGAAAGGGCAGTTAAATAAATGAGAATATCAAACAAGGTTGTTCAAGTAAAAATAACCAAACAAGCCTATTCAAATTAAAAAATGATATATTTGGGGGATAACCCAGGATCTGTCCAACTTTATGTCATGAAAAAAACATTTGCTTGATAGTCAGGAGACCTGGCTAGTGGTTCTGATGCTCTGTTACTTATCACTGTGATCTTGGTCATGTTAGTCCCCTTTTATAGGCCTCAGTTTCTTCACTTGTAATAAAAGGGAGTTGAACTATGGCAGTTGCTTTTAAACTTTTCTGGCCACAAACTACAGTAAGAAAAATATTTTACATCACAACCTAGCATACACATATACACACCAACAAATCTGAAACAAAAATTTTGTGAAGCAGTCCTCATCCTTACATGTGCAACGCACTTCAGCATGTTCTGTTTGATTCTTTTCCATATTTTTAACTGTTGGTTGTAACCTGGTAAATAACTTCATGACTCTATTCATGCCTCACAGCCCACAATTTGAAGAACACTGAACTAGTGGGTATCTAATGGCTCCCTATAGCTCTAGCTTTCTACGATTTTATGTTCTGCCTTTACCTGCCTTTTAGAATAATAGTAACAATAGCTAGCATTTATTGAACTTTTACATTCTCTTGAAAATATCAAGCATTCTGCTGTCTCATAAAATCGACTCTTACTGTTCCCTCTGATTCAAATGCTCTTTCAGAAGATAACCACATACTCACTCCCTCAATTCCTGTAGACCTCTGCTCTGTTCAATCTCTTAATATAGAGCCCTTCCCTAATCACACTCTATATAAAATATTAATATCTGCCTCCTCCGCTCCCTTTTCCCTTATTATGTTTTTTGGTCTCCATAGCAAGACTGTACCTGGCCCAGAGCAGATATTCAAGAAATATGTAAGAATTCAAGAATGAGTAAATTAGTTAAGTATTAATAACGGCAGTTTTTTTCAGCCCAAGCAATGAAAAGAAGCTTGACTAAGGAGCCCGGCTACTGTTATCCCCAATGGCCTAGAACAGTGCTTGCCTCATAGTAGGGACTTCAGAAATAGTGAATAAATAATGATGAAATGGAGAGCAAAGGGAGATTAATATAATCCAAACAAACCTATAACCGTTTTTGAAACGTATTCTTATAACAATTGTTATATTCTGGGTATACTGGCACATCTGGGTATACATAACACATGTTCTATTTTCAATTCTGACTATTTTTATCAGCTTTTTTACTTTACATTCATCCCATACACATTCCTTGTAGTTTAGAAATGCAGTTTCTGAAATTCTATATTCTATTTATGTTAAGCCAGGTATTGTATAAAACATAAGTACATTGTAAGGAGTCTAAAGATAGCTCTTTACCACGCAAGTTCTATAATTTTCTGTTTTCATTTGCACTTAATCACTAATTCACCCACCCTGCACTCAATTATGCTAATGCTAATAGCAATCGCAACTAACATTTATAGAGGACTTTTTGTGCTAGGGACTGTCCTGACGGCTGTGCATATATTATCTTGTTTCCGTCACACTACAGGAGACCAATGTTATCACATTTATGTATATTAACCAACTCTAATTTACTTTCTGTTGCTGGCCCAAGACCAAAACCCCCCAAATCGTGAGCTATGATTGCTCGCACCCCGTTTCTAGCCACTTCCTATTTTCCATTGCCTCTAATACTCTCCTTTCTAGAAGAGCCAGGAGCGATCCTCCCCCTCCCCCTCCTTACGCTTTGGGAACCATGGCAACCAAGGCAGCCAAGGATTTTCCCCGTCTTTTTCCCCCGGCAATCCGGCAGGCACCAGGTCCAAGGACCTGCTATGTAACCACGTGTGTAATGCTTAGTAACCACGCCTCGGAACAGCGCCGACCGAGAGGCGGGGCGAGAGACCAGACTTGCGCGCGGAAGGTTTTTGCCGCTTTGATACAAGCGGCGCCTTTCCAGTCCGCCGGAGCGGAGTAGCGTTCGTCGCTCAAGCGCGCGGTTTCTTAGTCTCTCAGCTTTGGACAGAGCAAACTAGCTTTTGGGTGTGAGGAGGGTACGCAATTTCCCCACAATGTCTGGTGAGTTAGACCAGCCTCAGGCCGGTCCCTCGCACGCTGGGCTGGACCTGCCGAATCCAGAAATAAATCGGGCTGTGGTCCCGGGAGGGGTGATACGAAGGGCCGGTGCCCAAGGGCCAACGTCCTGGATCCAAAAGGTTCTTGAGCAAATAATGGACTCGCCTCTCCAGTGGGTCACCCCCTCGGAGGTGGTGCCTGTCGCTGTGCTGGCGGTCCAAAGGTACCTGTTAGAGGACGAGCCACGCGACACGATACCCAAACCTCCCCTTTACTGCTACGATGTGACGATCTCGGACGGAGTGTACCAGGAGAAGTGCTACCTGGACCCCAGGCTGAACTTTCTCGTATATAAAAATATCCTTAAAGTTGGCATAGAAATGAAAATTTTCAGAGTCTCGTGTCTTTACAACGAGAAAAGGCTAGGCCAGGGGATCCTGTGCATTGATAATGTCCGCTGTGGGGAGACCTTGGACACTATTTCTTTAGAAACTCCCTTCAGAAACAGTGCGCACGAGGAGATACCGGAGAGGCCTTTAAGGGGCGGGAAGAGTCATTACCTAGCCCTGTGGAATAACGAAGATCCGTATGGAGATATCTGGTTAACCAACAAGCAACCTGAGGAATACAATTTTAACAGTAAGTAATTGGAGGGAACGACGGAGATGTTAAAAAATAGTTTTCGGGAGCTTGCGTTATTGGGAAAGGGAACGAAGGTGCTTTGGTATTGTTAATTGGGAGTGATAGTAGACAAAATTTTTCACGAGTGACATAGAGACGGTCCCTTAATAAAATTTGCACAGCCCGTGTCTTGCTTGGATTGTATAAGAAGCCGTTCAGGAAATGTCAGAATACATCTTAAATTTAATCTGGCAAACACACTGGTGTTGCTGTTAATATTCTTCATGTGTTCATTACATGTTTGACTTTAGTGAAATTAATCTTAATGGCATTCCCATTCCAGTTGTGGAAATAGTCCTTTCTGTGTTTGTTGGAAAGTGTATAGGTTTGAATTCGGCGTAAAAGTTGTAAATATTTGTGGTTTTGTTTCTTTTTTAACCTTCTTTCAAAAAAGGATGTTCCGTGATTTATTCCTTAATAATTTACATTAATGAAACCCCATTTTTATGTCTTTGAGTGTAGCAGTTACGTAAATATAGCTTTTTGAGTGGGTGATTTTTTGGGAAGGCTTGGAAATCTCATTTTAAACGTGCAATACTGATTTGAGAAGTTCAATTCTTCTGTATCAGAACTAGGAAGTTAACATGAAAATGCCAGATCGTCATCAGCAACTGCTCTAAAAATATATTTTATCTATAAGAGATGGAAGTAAGGGGAATGATAGTACTATAAGCATGCACGTGTATGGAATGGGGAAGAAATAAAATGCAAAAAGTAAAGCAAAAGTACTGAAGGGAGAAAGATGATAATTTTCTACATTTACTGCTTTTCAGGTTTTTTTTAAAATATATATTGCCGTCATAATGCTAGACCATAGATAATCTTATTATGATGTGTAAGAGCAACTAAATTGAAAGTGAAAAAATAACTACGTCGAAACTATGCAATTAAACTAATATCCAGTTGTAAGGGAAAAAAGATGTTCTAGAAATGTGTAACCAAGGATGGTTTAAAGAACTTAAGCTTTAAAAGCAAGATAGTCATTTCAGGGATGAAATAATGGAACGATTTTTTTTTTATTTCAAGCGTGGAATAAGGCAACAGTGCATTACCACTCTGTGTTGATCATTTTTATTTTTAGATATATAAATGAAAATGTGGTGCTCTAGAAGAATTAAGAGGGGAATACTAATTTGTAAAAATATATTTCACTTTTCTGGTTATGAAAGTAATATATATTCATTATTGAAACCATATTTTTATTACAAAAGGCAATGACCATATGCTAAAAATCCAAAAGTTTAAAATATATTGTATTAAAAATATAAGACCCAAGTGTAGTAAAATTTTGATGACAAAATCTAGAAGTGAGTATACTGGTGTTCATTCTGTGTTTGAAATTTTTAATAATAAAATGTTGAGGTGGAGTGAAACACTCCTTTACCTCCTCTTATGCCTTCAGCTGTCTTCTCAAAACTCCAAATTGTCTTCCATTTGGTGTGTATCTCTGAAAAAAAAAAAGAATTATATGGTGTTGCCTGATTTACTATTTCCACTTGTCTTAAGCATCTTTAATGTACATCTGTTCACACACTCTTCATGGTATGGATGTACGATGATTTATGTAATCATTCCCTTGTGAATAGGTAATTTGTAATTTTAGGCAGTTATTGTTTTTTCTGTTTTAGATTCAGGGCTGAACATCATTAGGATATACACATATTTGCTCACTATGTTTAAGTATTTCTGTTGAATGGATGGATTCCTAGAAGTGTAATTGCTGGTTTAAAGAGAATTTTAATTTTTTACTGTAATGGATATTGACAAATCATTTTCTGAAAAGTTTGTACTAGTTTACATTCCAATGGGAAAAAAATATATATCCATTTTCTCATATTGTACTATTTTTAAATTTTATCTTGTTACTTTTCCTAACTAATTTATAGGATTTCTTTACTAATGGGTTTTAAGGTTTTGTCTGCTATATATTATAAATTATTTTCTTATACTCTGTCCCCTTTCTCTTATCTTTGTTTATAGTATATTTTTGTGCTTTTAAAACTTTTCTATTAAGGTATAAAGTGAACATAGTAAAGTGACAAAGTCTTAAAAATACAGCTTGATACATTTTTCATATATATATCTATAGATCTATAGATATACATATATCTATATATCTGTAGATAGATTTTACATCTATAATCTATCTATCTATCTATCTATCTAACCATCCCCCCAGATCAAGACATATAATATTTCATGCACCCCCGAAGACTCCCTCATGCATTCTCCTGGTCAGTACTCTACTCCAAAGGTAACCAATATTGTGATTTCAAAGATGGTTTTTTGAAATGGACGTTACGTTATGCCACTCTCCCACCTGAATCTCCCCAGTGGCGCCCCATTGCACCTAGAGGACAGTCCAGACCTCCTCCTGGGATCCACAGGGCCCGACATCTGTAAGAGCCAGTTAGTAAATTGTTTTGTCTTTGTCAACACAGGGTCTCTGTCACAGCTATTGACTCTGCCATTGTATTGCAAAAGCTGCCATAGGCAATATTTAAATGAATGGATTTAGCTGTGTTAAGATAACTTTATTTACAAAAACAGACCACCAGGCAGATTTGGCTCAGGGGCATTAGTTTACAGAGCCCCGCCCTACAGAATCCCCTTACTCACCTCTTGAACTTCATTTCTAACCTCTCTCCTCCATCATTTTGTTTCAGCAATACCAGCCTTCTTTTTGATCCTCAAACCTTCAACTTCTACCCTGCCTCAGGTGCTTTGCTCCTGTTTTTTCCTCTTTCTGGAAAACTCCCCATCCTCAGGATTCAGCGCAAATATATTAAAAAATATTACAAGAACGTTATTTAAATGTGTATTCCCTACCTATTTATTGTTATTACACCACCTTGCACATTCTCTTCATAGAATTGATAATACTCTGAAATTATTTTGTTTGTTTTCTTCCTCCACCCACTAGTTTATAAGATCCATGAGGGCAAAGGCTCTTGGTTTTTACTTTTGTGGGCCACTTCCCCTATACCCAGAACGATGTCTGGCACACAGTAGGCATTCAGTAAATGTTTATTGAATAAAATAATGAATGAAATTAGTTACATTAATGGATTTTCTAATGTTGAAACACTACTTGATCATGGTTATTATTTTTTATCTGTATATTCAAGTGAATTTGGTTATTGAATTTTGTTATTTTTTTAGGGGGGGGTATATCAGCCCAATTTTGATATCAGGTTAATTACTATTAGCCTCGTAGAATGAGTTAGGAAACTTGCTCATTCTTCTGTGTCTACAGAGATCATGTGTTCATTGAATGTTTGGTAGAATTAACCCCTGAAAGTATTTGAATCTGGGGCCATGGGCAAGGACTGGGCTTGGGCGAATGACTCCTTATCAATTTCTTGTAGGAAAAGTAATGAAACCAATTATGCTGTTTGAGTCATTTTTGAGAGTTTATATTTCACTAGGAAATCCCATTTCACCTAGATTTCAAGGTTGTATACAGCAGTCTATATTCTTTAATCTGTCTTATTGGTTATGTCTCCTTTTACATTTTTTTTTTTTAGCTGAGCCATCCTGCCACCTGTTGGCATCTCAGCGGCAGCTCAGCTCAGGCCAGGCATTGAACTGCTGTTGCTCAGAGCTCACACTCTTGAGCGAGCTCTTAACCAACTGAGCCACTCGGCCAGCCCTCCCCTTTTACATTCTTGATTTTTTGTATTCACCTTCTTTCATGATCAGCTTTGCCGGAAGTTTGTCTATTTTATTGATATTTAAAAACAAATCCTTGGCTTTACTAATTGAGAAGTCTATAGTGGTGAGAAATTTTCTACTTCATTTCTATCATCTTTGATTCCTTTATTTCCTTTGTTCATTATGTTTTTGTGCTACCTTCTTGGGCTGAATGTGTGGTTCATTTATTTCCTGGTTTATTTCTTCTAAAAGCTTTTAAAACTGAAATTTCCCATGAGTACTGCTTTGGCTGTATCCCCCAGGTTTTGAAGTGTAGAGATTTTATTGTTACTCATTAGTCATAGTTTCTGATTTTAAATTTGAGTTCCTACTTAACCCCCAGAAGTTTAGAAAGAACTTCCTTGTTAGATATGAAGTTCCTTATTATATCAAGTTTTAAAATTTTAATTAAAATATTTCATATTCTTATTTTTGATATATATATATATATATATATATATGATTTGCCCATTTCTCTGAGAGAAATATTGGCTTCTCTTTATGATGCTGGTTTTTTTCATTTCTCCTTATATTTCTAAATGTTTTTGATTTAGCTGTTGCTATACATGTATAAAGTTTTATAAGTTATTAATGTATTGCTGATGGATTTTCCTCTTTATAAATATGGAATTTCTCTGTCCCTTTTTGCCTTGAATTATATTTTGTCTGATGATAGTCTTTACCATTTTTGCTGCCTTTTAGTTAGCATTTAGGGCAATGGTTCTCTAACATGAGTGGGCATCCGTATCACCTCAAAAGTGTTTTAAAATGCAGATCGCTGGGCCCCACCACCAGGTTCTGATTCAGTAGGTCTGTGATGGGGCCCTAGAATTTACATCTCTAACAAGTTACTGGTGGTAATGATGCTGCTGTTGCAAAGGCCACACTCTGAGAATCGCTGACCTAGTGTGTGCATCTTTTCCCATCCCTTTATTTCTATTTTATGTTAGGTTTGTCTGTTTTAAGAAACATATAGCTAAAATGTTGCTTTTTGACACAAACCAATTATTTTTCTTTTAAAAGATGAATTTAATGCAATTAAATTTATTGTGTTAGTGATGTTTGTACCTGATTTTGCAATCCTACTTTATATTTACTATTATGTCATGCTTTTTTTTTAACTTTTGCTGAATTTAAATATTTTTTCCACTAGTGCTTTAGAAGGTATACGTTATATTTGTATTCTTATAGTGGTTACCCCTATTTTTTTAACAAAATTATTTAAACTTACATTTTTGTGTCAATCTCTAGAATTATTCAGAATTTATAATATTCTCCTCCTGATTAAGACAGGATGTTTAGGAATCTGCTTGGTCGTGATGAAATGTGGCATACTGCTATATGGAATTTGAGTGTTTTATTTAGGATTTGTGCCATCACAAATGATTTGAGTTTATAGTTTTATGTACTATTTCTGTCATAGGTTTTCATGATTTATTTAAGTTTATAAAATGAATTGGTACAATTTCTGTGTTTTTCTGTGTTTTAGGACAACTTATATTTAAGAGAAAGAGCTATTCTTTAAAAGTTGTTACAATTTTCTTATAAAACCATGTGAATCTGGGCCATTTTTAGAGGTCATTATTTATGTACTTTTTCATTTTCTACCATGGTTATTGGCCTATTCCAGTTTTATTCTGTTTCTTAAGGGAATACTGGTAATTAATATTTTCCTAGGGAATTATATATTTCATTGATATTCTAAAGTTTAGTGAATTTTAGTGAAGAAACTTAGTGAAGTTTAGTTTTAAATTTTTTCTCTATGTTTATAGTTGATCACATTTTAAACATTATATTTTTGTTTTCTTTCTTTGTGATTGCACTTGTCGAAGTCTACCTTTTAATTCCCTTTTCCAGGGAATTGGATTTACCAGTGCTAATGTTTTCTATTTTTTTTCAGCTCTTATCTTTATTCCTTTTTGTATTCCTTACGTTTATTCTTTTGCAACACTTTTTTTTCAATATGTGGTTCAACGACCACAAAGGGTGTTCTCCGGAGACCTTTTCAGGAAATTCACATCAAATCTATTTTCATAATAACAATACTAACGTCTTATTTACCTTTTTTTTACTCTCATTCTCTCAAAAGTATATAGTGGAGTTTTGCAGAGACTACATGACATGTGACATTGACACAGACAGAATGACCAAGAAAATATGAGTATCCAGCTGTGTTCTACTAAGCTAGAGTCTAAAGAGATTTGCAGAAATGTGTAACAATGACATTTTTCTCAATACATTTTTTGTTTTGGAAAATACAGTCATTTTTTCAAAAATTCATATGTATATTATACATAATAGGTTTATTGTTATTTTAAGGAGATTAATGAATAATTTTTATTTCTTAGTTTTACTTTATAATATGGTAAATATTGATAGATATTATTCATATAAGCAAAGGCTTTTGAGGTCTTCAGTAATTTTTAAGAATGTAAAATGGTTCTGAGACCCAAAAGTTTGAGAATCACTGTTCTATTGCTTATTATCTTTATATATTGAATATCTAGTTTATTTCCATTTTTTCTTTTGAAAATGAATATACTTATTTTGATGAATTTAAACCTTCCTCATTGTCTATGTATAGTCTGTAATTTCTTTTTGGATTTGAGAAATATGTATATTTTATAAAGTTTGTGAGTTAAAAACCTAAACTGGGAAAATGTTAACCAGCCACATGTCTGATCACAACTAACTAACTCTCTGGACTGAGAAACAGTGGCTGTTAGAATTCTGGTTTTACAAAACCATGTAGCTCTTGAATTTATTCCAGCCAGTAAGGGAGGTATATGTGCCTTCATTTGTCAAGAATGTTCCACATACACTCCAGGTAATTCAGAGCCGATCCACAATTTGAGCATATTAAAATGAAAATCACTTAATTATATCAGATCAGATATTAGGACCTATGATCCTAGGCTAGTAATGTATTGGGAGAATCCGGAAGGAAAATTATACTAGATAGCATAATACTAAAAATAGTGGGGTTTTTTAATGGTACAGGTAGGATGATAAAATACCATTTAAATTCTTATTATAAAGAAATTATGAATATGGTTTTCATGCCAAAATGTTCAATAGGTGATACATTATGTAAATAAAAATGGAAGTAGAGCATGCCTTAGCAAAACAAATATTGGAACAAATAAAAATTCAGGTTTTAAAAGTTGGGACTGTGGTCTATGAGAGAGCAAAATATGGAGAGAATTGCAAGTGGAACCCTTCTTAACCCAAGGAAGAATAAAATCAGAAATACAAGTTAATCTTTTAAAGGTGGTGAATAGTTTTTAAGCAGTTCTTGTACTTACTAGCAGGCTTGGAGATTAAAACATTTCAAAGTAAATGATATGGCATATAAGTGCTATATAGAAAAATAAAATGGGATGTGAGAAAAGTAAAGGGATCAGTTTTCAATAGGATCGTTAAGGATGACATCACTGAGAAAGTGACCTTTGAGCAAAACTTGGGAGAGGAGGAAGGAAGTCACTTGGGTATCTAAGAGGAAGACATTCCAGACAGGGTGGGTAGCAAGTGCAAAGACCCTGATACAGGACCATGTCTGGCATTCTTGGGAAAGACAGAACTTACGTATATGAGACTAAGGTGAGGGAAATACAAAAATATATCATAAAACAATTATATTAGTTAGGTATGTGAGTGCTTAGTAGTAGGAAAATAATCCATGGCGTTGAGTGTTTTCTACAAAAAATGGAGGTGAGTTTAGATCGTCTTCTAGGAAGTAATTACACAGTTTGACAGGGTGGAGGGCATTCTAGATAGAACAGTGTGTTAGTTAATGCAGGTATGTATCTATGTTCCAGGCACATAGTAAGTCATATATATTAGCTATTATTATTAGGGATAGTGTGTATTACTAAGTTTGATAAGTGAGAAGAAATAAAACTGGCTGAGCTGGCAAAAACGTGTTACTTTGGGTATGATCTGGCTACCATTTTTAACCATTAAAATAGAATTTTGACATTACCATGACATACTAAGGAATTTTTTTTTCTCTTTTGTATTATAGATACCAAAATAATTTCCCTTTCTCACCTTGAAATGACCTGGAATAACAGAAGGAATTTTCCTGCTTTGCTTGTGAGAATCTTGCATAAATCAAGACTGCGATATTATGGAAAACCTGATAAAAACATGATTGAGCCATACCAGGTATAAGTAATGATAAAATATTATAAGTTAATTTAACAATAATAGATTATAACTTACAGACATGACGCCATATTAGGAAAATTTATGTTTAAATAACATATGTTCAACTTAATAATTTAAAAAATGTACATAAATGTATATTTCAAGGTATTTTTCTATGTAATTTCTTATACAAAAATGAAATCTTTCTATATTGGCCACTTTTAATTACCTGATTCAACTGGTCTCCTTCACACCTTTTTATATTTCTTCAACCTTTTCTTCTCTCTTGTGCTTTCTACACCAGCATATAAACATATTCTAGTCTTCCATTTTAATAAAGGAAAATAAATATCCTTTGACCTCAGGACTCCTCTATTCCCTCTCTCCTTCTCTTCAGGCAAGTCCTTGAAGTAGTCTACACTAGCTGTTTTCGCTTTCTTGCCTCCCATTTACTCCTCAGCACAATTAGTTTGACGTTTTTCTTCAACTGGTTGGTCACTCACTAGAGACCTTCTAATTGTAAAATCTATCTGACACCTTTCTGTTATCTCGACTCTAATGTGCCATATAATGCTGATGAGAACTTTCTTATTTTTTTTTTTACTTTACATTTTACTGTATTTTCATGTGTTATCAAGAATTATTTTGGGTGTTTTATTAAGCTTTTACTATAAAAGTTATGTATTAGGGAATTTGGAAAATGTGGAAAGCTATATAAACAAGGCTGATAAATAATATCACCCCAAATTGTACCAATCAGAGAGAGCCACTGTTAACATTATAGTGTGTTTTATTGTCTTTTTTGTGTATATATCATATATCTACAACATTTATCATATATGTGCAAATATCTGTAATATCACATTGTATATATCACACCCATCTGTATATGTATGCATGTCGTCTTTCATATGACTTTGTATGTCATATATTAAGTTACCTTACAAATTATCAATCATATAGTACATAAAATTTTGTATCACTTAACATTTTTTAAAGTATTTTCTCATATCACTGAAAATTCTTCATTCATGACTTTTCATAGTTATAGATTCAATCATACAATATCATAAATTATTTAGTCATTCCACTATAGTTTTACTTCCTCATTCTTAAAATTTTAACATCCTGTACATAAAAGTAACAAATATGTATGTTTTTTCACTCTTTTTTTTAGACCTTTTTGGAAGTTGCTGACAGTTCAGGCACTGTGTCAGTGATTATGTGGAATGCCCTATGTCCTGAGTGGTATAAAAGTTTGCGGGTTGGCTTAGTTCTTCTGCTTCAAGATTATTCTGTTAAAAAGAGTTATCCATTGAGGCTGCAGCCTCTCCCTGTGGATCCACAGATCAAACTAATTTCTACTATGGGTTAAGTATTCAATGAATTTGTTCTTTTATAGCTATTTTGTTTGTATACATTTGCAAAGCACCATATCAGCCAAAGGCTCTTAAAAATTACTGAAACTGTTAGCACCTGACAAACCTTTAAATTCCTGTATCTATAAAATTTTCAAGCAATCATTTAATGAATATACTTATTATTGTATTTATTAAGAAAAATTATCTGATATACTTGTTGATTAATGAATGAGCTCCACTTGAGGTATGCTTATTTTTATTATTTTTTATTTTTGTATTATAATATTAAGTTAATGACTTAAATATAGTTTTCTGTTACTACAAGCTATTATTCTTTTTTTAATTAAAGTTTATTGGGGAGACAGTTGTTAGTAAAGTTACATAGGTTTCAGGTGTACAATTCTGTAATATGTCATCTATATATATCACATTGTGTGTTCACCACACAGAGTCAGTTCTCCTTCCATCACCATATATTTGATCCCTTTTACCTTCATCTACCACTTCCCTCCCCCCACCCTCTGGTAACCACTAAATTGTTGTCTGTGTCTATGAGTTTTGTTTCTTCATTTGCTTGTCTCGTTCCTTTATTGTTTTCAGTTTTATATCCCACATATTAGTGAAATCATATGGTTCTCGACTTTTTCTGTCTGACTTATTTCGCTTAGCATAATAATCTCAAGATCAATCCATGTTGTCACAATGGCACTATTTCATCTTTACTTATGGCAGAATAGTATCCCATTGTGTATATATACCACATCTACTACGAGCTATTAAAAGGGCTTTTGTCAACATTTTATTTTGAAATAATTTCAAACTTACATAAAAGTTAAACGAGCAGTATAAAAAACTCCTACATACCCTTTATACAGATTCAACCATTGTTAACATTTACCTTTGCTTCCTCCCTCTCTCTCTCCCTCTCTCTCTCCCTCTCTCCCTCTCTCCCTCTCCCTCTCCCTCTCCCTCTCCCTCTC